TGGAAACAAAAAGCTACGCAGCTTAGAAGGCCTGCTAGGGCTTTGGTGACCCTTCTATTTTGAAAATAGAGAAATATTTGACTAAAATGACTTCCCTCATTTGCCAGCATGATAATTAGGGAAACAGGCTAATTTTTCTCCATCCTTTTTTCCCCCCTGTTTATGCTTTTTTTTCCCTTTCTCCTTTTCGCTACTCACTAGTGTTTTGCTTTTGACCACTGCCTCCCTCAGTCCCTCCTCACTTCTATTAGCCCTTTCCCTTTTCTTCCCTTTTACCCTTACTGCTTCTTCCCTCCCTTCTATCCCCCTCCCTTTTCTTTCCCCTTTCCCCTCCTACTGCCTATAGGGCAAGTTAGATTTCTATACCTAATTGATTATGTTATTCCCTTCTTGAGCCAAATATGATGAGAGTAAGATTCAAACAATGCTCATCTCCCTCCCTTCTTTCCCTCTGCTGTAATAGGTTTTTGTGTCTTTTCCTGTAATGTAATTTACCCTTGTCTGCCTCCTCCTTTCTCAGTACATTTTCTTAGATCAGATTACTCCACTTACTTGGATCCATTTAACCCACTTGATAAGATTTTTTTTTTATCATTACATCAAAATCAACTTATATCCACTCCCTTTATGTATACAGTTTAACATAGTGTGATAACAATACAGTTCTCAAGAGTTACAAGTGTCATCTTCCCTTGTAGGGATGTAAACAGTTTGCCCTCATTAACAACATATTGTATCTTGCTGTCCCATTTACCTTTTTATGTCTCCCTTGAGTCTTGTACTGGAAGATCAAATTTTCTGTTGAGTTTTTGTCTTTTTATAAGGAAGGTTTGGAAGTACCCTATTTCGTTGAATATCCACCTCTTCCCCTGAAAGATCATGCTCATTTTCTCTGGGTAGTTGATCCTTGGTTGTAATCCTAGTTCCTTTGCCTTACAGAATATCATGTTCCACACCCTACAGTCTTTTAATGTAGAAACTGCAAGGTCCTGTGTAATCCTGACTGTGGTTGCTTGATATTTAAATTGTTTCTTTCTGGCTGCTTGCAGTATTTTCTCTTTGACCTGGTAATTTTGGAATTTGGCTACTGTTTTCCTTAGTGTTTTCAATTTGAGATCTCTTTCAGGAGGTGAGCCATGGATTCTTTCTATGGATATTTTACCCTCTGGTTCTAGGACCTCAGGGCAGTTTTCCTTTATGATTTCCTGAAAGATATTGTCCAGGCTCTTTTTTTCATCATGATTTTCAGGTAGACCAATAATTTTTAAATTGTCTCTCCTGGATCAATTTTCCAGGTCAGTTATTTTACCAATGAAGTATTTTGCATTTTCATCTATTTTTTTTTCATTTTTTTTTGTTTCTGTTTGACTGATTCTTGCTCTCTCATAGAATCATTAGCTTCCATTTGTCCAATTCTAATTTTTAACAAATTATTTTCTTTTCTTAGATTTTGTACCTCCTTCCCCATTTGGCCAATTGTATTTTTTAGAGACTTGTTTTCTTCAGTGTCCTCTTTTTTTCCCAGTTGGCTAATTGTATTTTTAAATGACTCTTCTATCTCTCTCATTTGACTTTTAAAATCCTTCTTGAGCTCTTCTAAGGAGGCTTTTTGGGCTTCAGACCAGTTCATATTCCCTTCTGAGGTTTCAGCTGTGGGTTTGTTGACAATATTGTCCTCTTCAGAATTTCTGCCTTGATCTTTGCCATTCTTATAATATGAATCTATGGTACATTTCTTTTTGCTCATGGTGTTTGTTTATTCCCTGGCCTTTAAAGATATTGAGCTCTCCTGCTGGGGAGAAGAGGGCACTGACCCAAGCTTCTTGTGTTGGGAGCCTAGGTCTTGGCACTGGCTTTGTGTGCTGGAGCTTCCCATGCTGGCAAGTGGAGGCTGTAGGGTCCTGGCAGCTTATCTGGTGTTGGGCTGGAATCAGCAAAGTTGGAACTCTTGGGCAACTCTAAGTTGCCTGCTTTTCTTTTCCTTTCACTTTCTTCAGCTCCTTTCAGATGGATGTTGTAGGGATTTTATCAGCCTGAGGCCCTTTGTAGTCCTGCTTCCCTTATTTTTGCTGAGGCACTGGGAGACCCGTTTGTTGTAGAATGTCGAGGCACCTAGTGGTTTTCTGAGATGGTTTCAACCAATTCCCTTGCTCTCACTGAGGCACTCAGTGGTCCAGGTGTTGATGTTTGCCAGCTCCACCACCTGGTTTTCAGGATCTCCTCCTGGTGTGCTAAAGTGGGGCTTTCCACTAGTTTTCTGGGACACCTCCCATTCCAGACTGCTCCCCTTGATGCAGGGCAAGAGGAGCCTTTCCTGTTAATCTGTCAAGCTACCTGGGCTACTGAACTACTTTTCCCCTTTTTTCTTCTGGTTCAGCTGTTCCAGGGTTTTTCCTGGGGTGATATTTTCTGGGTTTTCAGAGGTTGATAGGGGAGGGTGAGAGTGACTTCCTTTTTACTCCTACATCTTGTCTCCCAGAAACAGAAGTCACTAATTTCTTATAGTATCTCATCTCTCCCATTAGAATGTGAACATCTTGAAGACAGGATTATTTTTTTTAATATTTCTTAGTATTCTATATTTATTAAGAGAGTGTCTAAAACATAATAAGCACTTAATGAATGGTTTTTGATTCAATGATTTATAGCAGATCTAACTATGATAAATAACCCACATTCCTTCTTGTATAAGCATCTATTAATCCTCTGCTGGTTGGAAAATTCCTCAGTAGATCTTCTGAAAGTAGTGGTTAAACAAAATAAAGTAAGGATAGCATCTTGTGTCCAAATACAGGACTTCAGAGCAGAAACTGTGAATAAGGACATGCCCTTTGTATGATTCTATGAATAGATATAAATAAAAATAAAATTTGTCTCAGAAAACCTAGGGATAAGGGAAGACTCTGCTATCAATAATGCTTAAATTCTACTCTGTAAAAATATAATTAATTTCAGCTATTATAAAGTTATTTAGTGATTGCCAAAATTCAGTGCTTATTAAGCATTTTTTCTAAGAAAAAATATTCATTTCTATAAGTAGAAGCTTTCTACATAGTCTTCTTGTCTTTGGTCCATCTCATTTCTTGTGCCTGATTAATTTTTGAAACAAATTACTCATAATCATCATCTACTCCAACCATTATATTGAAGCCTCCAAGTTTAGTGAACATGGTGAGCTATTATGGAGGATGCTTTTTAAAATTTTTCTTTGAATTTCTTTTCCTCTTTATCCTCTGTAAATATTTTTGGAACATAAATTACCATTATTTTCATAATAGCTTTTTTGCACATACTTTCCATGAGCATGAACACTGTAATATGAGATGACAAGATGTTTCCTTTTGTTTTGTTTTGTATATATAATTTTATTACATTTTTCTCAATTACATGTAAACACAATTTTTAACATTTTTTTTTCAAATTTTAAGTTCCAAATTCTCTCTCTTACTCACTAATAACTTGAGAAGGCAAACAATTTGATATAGATTAAATTTGTGAAGTCAGGCAAACATTTCCACATTAGCCATGTTGCAAAAGAAAATGCAGACAAAAATAAATAAATAACAAAGAAACTAAAAAATAGTAATGCTTTGATCTGTATTCAGATTCCATCAGTTCTTTCTTTGGGGGTGGAAAGCATTTTTCATCATCAGTCCTTTGCAATTGATTTGGATCATTTATTGTTGAGAATAGATGTCACTCATAGTTAATCATTGTACAATAATGCTGTTACTGTATACACTGTTCTCATGGTTCTATTTACTTCACTTCATATCAGTTCATGTAAGTCTTTCCAGGTTTTTCTGGAAGCATTCTGCTTTTATGCATTTATGTATTTTGTCAAAAGGTTTTTCTGCACCTATTAAGATAATTATATGATTTTCTTGGTATTGTTTTTGTTATGGTCAATTATGCTCATAATTTTCCTAATATTGAATAAGTTCTACATTCCTGGTCCTTACTAGTATTTTATTTAAAATTTGTGCATCAATATTCATGAGGGAAATTCATCTACAATTTTCTTTCTCTTTTTTTGCTCTTTTTGGTTTAGCTATCAGCAACGTATTTGTATTATGAAAAGGATTTAGTGGACCTCCTTCTTTGCTTATTTCCCCAAATAGTTTACATAGTATTGGAATTAATTTTTCTTTAAATAATTGGTAGAACTCAGTTGTGAAACTGTACAGTCATGGCGATTTTTTTTTTAAGGATCTCATTGATGGCTTGTTCAATTTCTTTTTCTAATATAGGGTTATTTAAGTATTCCATTTGCCCATTTTTTTATCTGGGAAATAGATATTTTTGTAAATATTCATCCATTTCACTTAGATTGTAAGATTTATTGTCACATAATTAGGCAAAATCAATCCTAGTAATTGCTTTAATTTCATCTTCATTCATGATGAGTTCATACTTTTATTTTTGATACTGGTAAGTTGGTCTTCATTCATTCTTTTAATCAAATTAGCCAAAGGGTATGTCTATTTTATTTTTTCCCATAAAACTAGTTTTATTTATTAATTTAATCATTGTATTTAAATGCTATTAATCTGTCCTGAGACTTTCATAATTTCCAATTTGGGTAAAAGTAGTGATTTGCCTGATCTGTCATTTATTACTTAAGTTAAAGAACAAGTTATGAAGGGGTAGGGGGCACATTCAGAACAGAGATTACAAGGTGGAGTCCTAGGGAAGAGGGAAGAAGGGAGGAGAAAGGGAGACAAGAGGCTCTCCTCTGTCTGCTCTAGATGGGGTTGATCCTGATTTCTGAGCCTTGGTCCAGGGCACACAATGAAGCACGTGATAAGATGAGGTTCCAGGGGCTACAGGTTTAGGAAACATGAAAGGGTGGCCAGAGTTACATATCCAACCAGATTTGGGGGCTAGGATTCTCCTTGGATGAGCAGCACTGCTTCCTTTTAGGAATTGAAGTAGAATGATAAGTTCCATCCCACTTATATCATCTCTCATGAAACATTCTTGTAGTTAAAGTCTTTGTACTAAAGAATTCTTTCATCACCTAACTTCTTGTACTTTCCTTCTAGTTTCTTTGAATATGCATCCAACTTGTAAGCTGCCTGATCAAGAGCTGCTACTTGCTCCTCAGTCAAAGTGATCTGATCCAGATAAGGCTGAAGTGCTGTAGATTTCTGGTTTAAGTCCTTTAGGTTTCTACTTATGTTTATGGCAATATATTTCATTTCTAGATACTTCAAGCTAGTTGGTTTGGTCATGTTTTCTAGAAGTTTATAGTCTTCACTGGTGACTGTTAGCTCACCTGTCAGGCACTTGGCCATTTTGGAGAGCATATCCTGGCATAGTCCCATGATGTCCACCTCAGTGGGCTCTGTGGACTCCTCAGCTGTCTCCATAATGGCACTGTCTATGTCGGGGAAGAGAGGAAGGAGAAAGAATGGAGGAAAGGATGGAGATGGGGGGGAATGGAGAGGAGGAGATGGGAGGGAAGGGGAGAAGGAAGAGGAGAAAGAGGGAAGGGTGAAAAGTAGGAGAGGGAGGTAAGGGGAGGGTGGGAGGAGGGGGGCAGTTGGGATAAAACCTATTCCATTTGCATAAGTTTAAATAAATGAGTTGTTCAGTTGGCTTTATCTAGGACCTAAATACAATTAGAACATTATTTCATGAGGCATTTGATCATATCATACCGTAGTCATACATACACATGTCAATTATCATGTGTCTTGACCTTTTCTAGATCTATATATCAGAAGAGAGATGTTATGTTCCCACTACATTTTGGATATCTTGAACTTGATGGACCATACACATCTCAAAATCCAACCAAAACAAAATTCATTTCCCCCTGAAACCATCCCCTCTTCCCAACTTGTAGTAACAAAGAACTGGAAATAAAGAAGGTTCTCATAAATGGAAGAATGGCTAAACACTTTGTAATATATGACTATAATGGCATAATACTTTTCTATAAAAAAGACATCATACATGATGAATATGCAGAAGGGAAGTAAGTAAGCCAAGTAAGGAATACACATAAATACCACAGCAATGTAAATAGAAGAAACAAAACTCACAAAACAATATAATTAAATATTGAAAAATTATAAAGAACAAGCTTGACTCCAAAAAAAGATATAAGAAGCTACATTCTGCCACACTGTTGCAGAGATGAGGTTAGCATATTTTTACACACTGAATATAATACAATATTTTTTCACTGTATATAAAGGTTTTATTGAATTTTTATTCTTTTAATTTTTTAAATTCATTTTAAGCAAAAGCTATTTGGGAAGAAAAGGGGAAAGACACCATAGTAAATTTAGATAATGTAAAAAGAGAATAATACAATTATTTAAATAAAAAGTAATATTTCAAAAAATAGAAAAAAATAGATTTATAGAAAAGTTTATTCTCTCATGTGAATGAAACCAATCTATACCTTCATTTAAGGTCAGGTCAAGGTAGAATTTTCCTTCATCAAGAATGATGGATATTCAAAGACAGTCAACTGACATCAACTATTATTTAGTAATTAAAATAACTAAACACGCTTCCATGAAACTATAGAATTAGAATTTATATCAAGAGAATTATCCTGTCAATGAACAGTTCTTACAAAATAAAACTAAACAAAGCCTTAACATGCACATAAAATAAATTAAGACTTTTTGTGTCATGAATAAATTTAGACATATTAAAAGCTGTATTTGTAGCTACATTACCTCTGATTAGAGTTTTAAAGGTACTTCTCTCATAATTAAGTTGATGGCAACTTATCTTGTGATGAATCAATTATTTATGAGAGACATATATAAAACACTCTATACAGATTTCAAGAGGAGATGATGGTTTGCATCCATCCATTAATTCCTGATTGAATGACTCAGAATAACTAACTGATTTTTTCATCTAATTACAGACTTATCAATTTATGGATCTATATTCTTTTTTTTTTTTTAGATTATACATGTGCAGTTATGCAAAACACTTCCATAGTAGACAGGCCCTGAAAAACTAACTCTATTTCCCTTAATCCTATCCTGCCCCCGCCCCATTTATTCTATTCTTTCTTCTGACCCTGTCCCTCCTCAGAAGTATTTGCTTCGGATTACTCCCTTTCCCAATCTGCCCTCCTCTCTGTCATTCCCCTACTTTCTTGTCCCCTTCCCCCCCTATTTTCCTATAGGGTAAGACAGATTTCCACACCCAATTGAGTGTGTATGTTATTCCCTCCTTAAGTCAAATCCTATGAGAATAAGATTCACTAATTCCCTCTCACCTTCCCCCTTTGCCCCTCCACTGTAAGAGCCTTTTCTTTTCTGTTTTTTTTTGTAGGATAATTTACTCCATTCTACCTCTCCCTTTCTCCTTCTCCTAGTATATTCCTCTCTCACCCCTTAATTTTATTCTCCAGATATGACCCCTTCATTTTCAACTCACCCTGTGCCCTCTATCTATCTATATCTGTATATATGTACATATAATTTTTTCCCTCCAACTACCCTAATACTGACAAAGGTGTCATGAGTTACAAATATCATCTTCCCATGCAGGAATGTAGACAGTTCAACCTTAATAAGTCTCTTATGATTTTCTCTTTCCTGTTTACCTCTTCATGTTCCACTCAAGTCTTGTATTTGAAAATCAAATTTTCTATTCCACTGTGGTCTTTTCATCAAGAATGTTTGAAAGTCCTCTATTTCACTGAATGACCATTTTTTTCCCCTGAAAGATTATACTCAGTTTTGCTGGGTAGGTGATTCTTGGTTGTAATCCTGTCTCCTTTGCTCTCTGGAATATTATTCCATGTCCTGCGGTCCCTTAATGTAGAAGCAGCTAAATCTTGTGTTATCCTGATTGTGTTTCCACAATACTTGAATTGTTTCTTTCTGTCTGCTTGTAATATTTTCTCCTTGACCTGGGAACTCTGGCATTTGGCTACAATATTCCTAGGAGTTTTCCTTTGAGGATCTCTTTCAGGAGGAGATCGGTGGATTCTTTCAATTTCTATTTTGCCCTCTGGTTCTAAAATGTCAGGAGAGTTTTCCTGGATAATTTCTGGAAAGATGATGTCTAGGCTCCTTTTTTGATCATGGTTTTCAGATAGTCCAATAATTTTTAAATTCTCTCTCCTGGATCTATTTTCCAGGTCAGTTGTTTTTTCAAGGAGATATATCACATTGTTTTCTAATTTTTCTTCTTTTGGATTTGTTTTACAGTGTTTTGATTTCTCATAAAGTCACTAGCTTCCAATTGCTCTATTCTAATTTTTAAGGAAGTATTTTCTTCAGTAATCTTTTGGACTTCCTTTTCCATTTGGCCAATTTTGCTTTTTAGGGCATTCTTCTCCTCATTGGCTTTTTGGACCTCTTTTGCCATTTGGGTTAGGCTATTTTTTAAGGTGTTATTTTCTTCAGTATTTTTTTGAGTCTCCTTTAGCAAGCTGTTGACTTGTTTTTCATGATTTTCTTGCATCACTCTCAGTTTTTCCTCTACTTCTCTTGCTTCTCAAAATCCCTTTTGAGCTCATCCAAGGCCTGGGACTAAGTCATATTTTTCTTGGAGGCTTTGGATGTAGGAGCTTTGGCTTTGTTGTCTTCTTCTGGTTGTATGTTTTGATCTTCTTTGTCGCCAAAGTAAGATAATATAGTCTGACTCTTTTTGTGCTGCTTACTCAAGATCCTAGCCAATTACTTGAGTTTTAAACTCTTTGTTAAGGTAAAAGTCTGCTTCCAATTTGAAGAGTGTACTGTCCCAAGCTTTGGGGGTTTATACAGCTGTTTTCAGAGGTACTTCTAGGGACCATAAATTTTCAGTTCTTCCAAGGTGGTATGATAAGGAGCAAGGTGTTTCCTCTCCACAGCCACAACAAGCTTCACCACACCAGTGTTCCTCCTCACCCCAGGACCGCCCCTCAGAACTGTGATCCAGATCCAAGCACTGGTAAAGCAAGGGATTTCTGCCTCAGCACTGGCAAAGAATTCCTTGTAATCCCTCTCTGATCAGCCACTCGATTCCCCCTCAGTCTGTGGGCTGGAAGCTCAGGAAACAGTCGCTGCCCCAAGGGCACACTCAGGACTTGTGGCTGAGACCTAGCTCCTCTCTCACCACAGTCACAGACTTTTCCCACTGACCTTCCATGTTGTCTTTGGCATTCCTGGGCTGAGAAGTCTGGAAACCGCCACAGCTGCCCGCGATTCAGTCCTCGGAGGCCTGCTCTAGGGTCACTGCGGCCTGCACGTCCACTCCCTACTGCGCTCCTCTCCCAGACTGGAGCGATATACCTTTCTGATCAACCTTCCAGGCTGTCTTTGGCTGGAAATTTGTTTCACTCTATCTTTTTGTGGCTTCTGCTGCTTTAGAATTTGTTTAGAGCCATTTTTTAGGTATTTGGAGGGCTTTGGGAGAGAGCTCAAGACATTCACTGCTTTCACTCTGCCATCTTGGCTCCGCCCCCCCCCATGGATCTATATTCTTGATGCAACTAAATGCAGTAGGGATTTTAAGTAAGCAAGAGTTGTGAGAGTACCCAGCATTCCATTGACTCCTCCTTGGGAACCATCACTGTAGCACTAAGAAAGGTCCTTTAGACCAATGGTTTCAAACTCAGATAAAACAGGAGCCACCAAACTATATACAAGATTCCCTATGCTGACATATTGGCTTAGAAAATCACATACTAACATCATTTATGTTCTATTGTATTTTTTATTTATTTTGTTATCTCAATTACATTTTAATCTGGTTTAGGCCCCATGAAAGTGTTGTGGGCAGCAAAACAACATTTGACACTTCTGCTTTAGACTATGAAAGGAGCATTCTAGTATGGGACAGAAATTAATTCACTTCAGAGCTATTAACAACAGTTGTTCCCTTCTGATCATAGCAATTCATGGCCAGGGAAATGCATTAGTTGCCATTATCTTATTTCTATGATAAGTGTGTTTAAAAATCAAATCAGAAATAAGATAAGAGGCTACATCTTCTTGTTGAACCACCAGAGTAGTCTAGAGATTTCAATAGGACATTACAGTCTTGTAAAACAAATACTAATTGTCACTGTGTATTTTTAAATTTCTAATATTGTACCATATATTTACTTATGTATATTTCCCCCTATATTTTAGAAAGCCAGGGAAATATAACTTGCCTCCTGTTTATAACTATCTCAATGAAATGACACAAGAACTTAAATTCTCTAAATCATTTCAAAAATGTAAAGTCTAACTTCAGTAAGCTTACAGGCATTCTTAATTCAATAACCTAATAGACCTGCCAAGGAAATATCTTTGTCTAGTGTCCTTGAAAACATCAGATTCAATTGGCTGTTATGACATTTTACCTACTTCAACTCAGAATTTTATAAGATATGGGCCATGCATGGTGACTTGTGGTAGGGCGAGATCA